TCGATATGCGAATAAGAGGTGCGGTAGGAATCGCTCCCAGTCTCTGTATTCATCTGTAAAGGTCCGCAGTAACTGTTTCAGGGTACCATTGAAAAGCTCACAGAGACCGTTATGTGACAAGTCCAATCTCGCCACTGTGCATTGGGGGAGCCTGGTTGCCCGCCTGCTGCCTTTAGACTATGGCCCCATGTTGAAACGCTTGATTTTCCCCTGCGTAGACACGAAAGCCGGGTCATTCGGTGCTGGCCCTGTTTGAGCGGTGATACCCCAGATAGCTATGCCATGGAGCCCATTCGTATAATGAAAGACTATGAGAAAGACTTTGGCTCCATGGCAATTGAACTGTATGTGTGTGCTCTGAGCGCCATTCAGTAATAATGTGCGCTCAGATCTGAACTATCTGGGGATATGTTGAATGTACCTGTTTTGTACAATGGCTGCACAGTTAAATGTTTTTATGTGTTTTATTGTCTTTTGCTGCCATGTGTTCAATGGAATTTTGCCTCTGTCCTTGGAGATAATTGGATTACTTCCCAATTATCTCCAGGATAGAAGACTCTGTGGAACTGGTTTTGGGCAGAAAAGCCATGCTTCCTTTGGTCACTGTAGCGGTACTTACCCTTTCCAGGGGCCGGCCGGGGTCCTCTGTTCGATCCGCGCGCGGTCCTGCTGCTGCACGAGCCGCGCGCGGCTCAGCCGACCGCTGTGACTAGTAGCGGTCACATGTTCCACCTACTCTAAGAGCGCGCCGCGGGTATCGGGCGCGCTCTTAAAGGGACAGTGGGTGCCTAAATTGGAAAAGGCATCCCATTGGTCCCTGTCATGCCACACTCCCCATACACTTACCTTTTGGGGGCGTGGATGTGACAGGGACCAATCAAAGTAGATGTTTAGGTATTTATACTCACCTTCTTTCCTTTGTTCCTTGCCCTATCGTGGTTTCTGTATCAGTTCCCTTTAGCGCTTGTTGTGTTCAGTTGTGTTTCTCCGTATTGACCTTGGCTTTGTTTCTGACTACGTTTTCTCTTTATCCTTATCTGTTCTGGTTGTCGGCTTGTTGTTTACTGTGTACCAGACCCCGGCTTGTCCTAGTTTACGCTGTCTCTCTGTGCCCTTGATTTCGGATTGTTCCTGACTCTGTCTCCTCTCATATACGTCGAGTCCGGCCATTCTAAGGTCCGGTAGACGTATCTCTCCTCTGTGTTGTCTTTTGTTTAGCTAAATCCTGCATGTTGGGGTATATTCTCGTTACATTACGATAGGGCCATGGACCCCGCAGATTTGGCTCAGCAAATGGCTTCTCACGAGGCAAGGTTTGTAGAGCAGGATCACCGTATGGATCAGATAGCACAGGCTCTCCAGACGCTCTTGTCTAGAACCATTCCTGCAACCGCACCGAACCCTCCTACACCTCATCCTCCCGAAGTATCCAATTCAACCAATGCTTCGCCCCATTTAACACCTCCTCCTAGGTATGGAGGGGAAGCCAAGACATGCAGAGGTTTTATTAATCAAATAGAATTCCACCTTGAGATGTATCCTCATTCCTTTCCCACTGATAGGTCTAAAGTGGGGTTTTTGATGCATCAACTTACTGACAAAGCACTAGAGTGGGCAAATCCTATTTGGGAGGCCAATGGACCTATGGTTCATGATTTCAATAGTTTTCTTGCGGCTTTTCGTAGAACTTTTGACACAACAAAGAGGTCAAAGAATGCCGCAAGAGCATTAATGAGGATTAAACAGGGGTCTAGGTCTGTGGCGGATTATGCTATTCAGTTTCGTACCCTTGCCTCACAGGTAGATTGGACCAATAATGGGTTAACTACTGCGTTCATGGAAGGTTTATCTGACACTATATTAGATGAGGTAGCGGCAAGGGAGCTTCCTATCCCATTAGAGGATCTTATTGACTACCTCATTGATATAGATAATAGAATTCGCGACAGGCTCTATACCAAAAACAAGAATAGACGCCTGGTCACATCTATTAACCCCAGAGTTGATAAACCTGAGAGTGTTAAAGTACCCGAGGAGGAACCCATGCAATTAGGGGTTGCCAAACTCTCGGATACTGAAAAACTACTTAGAAGAAGGAATGGACTCTGCCTATACTGTGGTAGGCGAGACCATATGGTAAGGGAATGTCCTTTGCGTCCGGAAAACTCTCGCACCTAAGACCTTATAGGGGACTGGCCTTGGGTGTGATCTCTAAGTCTCCTAAATTGCCTCCTAATCGTTTGCTTCTCCCTGTTTCCCTTCATATGGGGGTGAGTTGTATAGCAGAGTGCATATTAGCCTTGGTTGATTCTGGGGCTGCTGAGAACTTTATTGACTCTGAGTTTGTTACGAAAAATAACATTCCCGTCAGAGAAAGGGAGATACCCTTGGCCATTGAGGCCATAGATGGTAGACCATTAAGTTCTCCAATTGTTACTCATGAAACTGTACCATTACACATGTATACAGGGGTTTTACACTTTGAAACCATTCGATTCCAGGTTATCACATCTCCCTCTTCTCACATTGTGTTAGGGTACCCATGGTTACGTACTCACAATCCCATTTTCGATTGGGAGTCAGGGCAAATAAAATCATGGAGCGATGCCTGCCATGAGTCCTGTACTATTGAAGTCACCCCTTTGAATTCTATTAATGTCCCTACAACTCCTCCTTTGTCCACTGTTATACCCTCTCAGTACTTATTTCTCAAAACTGTCTTCGATAAAAGGGAGGCTGACAAATTACCACCTCACAGACCCTACGATTGTGCTATCGATTTATTGCCTGGCACAATACCTCCAAAGGGCAGGGTGTACCCTTTATCTGTTCAAGAAAACCGTGTCATGGAGGAGTATATTAAGGAATCATTAGAAAAGGGGTTTATTAGGAGATCCTCTTCTCCGGCTGGAGCGGGGTTCTTCTTTGTATCAAAGAAAGAAGGTGATTTAAGACCGTGTATCGATTATAGAGGTCTAAATAAAATCACCATCAAAAATGCATATCCTATACCTTTAATCACGGAATTATTTGACAGACTCAAACATGCTACTGTATTCACTAAATTGGATCTTAGAGGTGCATACAATTTAATACGTATTAAGAAAGACCACGAATGGAAAACGGCATTCAACACTAGATCTGGCCATTACGAGTATACTGTTATGCCATTTGGTCTATGCAATGCCCCAGCAGTATTTCAAGAATTTATCAATGACGTTTTAAGAGACTTTATTCACACATTTGTAATTGTGTACTTAGACGACATATTAATATACTCTACAGATTTACACACTCATCACAGGCATGTTACGACAGTTCTGAAGACCCTTCTTGCTAATGGTCTTTATTGTAAACTGGAAAAATGTCTATTTGACCAATCCGAAGTCCAGTTTTTGGGGTATTTAATTTCCGCTAAAGGTTTTCGTATGGATCCCCAGAAGCTTTCTGCTGTCATGGAATGGCCTCTTCCACAAGGTTTGAAAGCCATTCAGCGTTTTCTTGGTTTCTCTAATTATTATAGACGCTTTATTAAAGGTTTTTCCTCTATTGTAGCGCCTATCACCCGTATGACAAGAAAGGGAGGCAATACTCGTGTCTGGTCTCCCGAGGCACTTCAGGCCTTTGAGTTTCTTAAAACCACATTCGCTTCTGCACCTATTTTACAGCACCCTATCCCCACACTGCCCTATATTCTTGAAGTTGATGCTTCTGATATCGGGGTAGGTGCTGTCTTATCCCAAAGAGAGTCGCCTGAAAAGCCATTGCATCCTTGTGGCTTCTTCTCCAAACAAATGTCCAAAGCAGAAAAGAATTATGATGTGGGTAATCGCGAACTCCTTGCTATTATTTTAGCACTGAAAGAATGGAGACATTTGTTAGAAGGAACTAAAGATCCTATTCTCATATTTACGGATCATAAGAACCTATCCTACCTTAGTGAGGCCAAAAGACTGTCTTCTCGGCAGGCTAGGTGGTCACTATTTTTGTCCCATTTCAATTACATTATCACCTATAGGCCAGGTGACCGCAACACTAAAGCAGACGCTCTGTCCAGACAGTTCGAAACTGCTGACAAACAGGAGATTGATGTTACTCCTGTGATTCCCCCAGAAAGGATAATCGCTACCACTGTTTTGTCTATTTCTTCGTCCCTCTTGCAGGCCATACAAGCGAAACAAAACATGGCACCTAGCGAGAGACCTACTGATAAACTATTCGTTGATGTTCCCGAGAGACGGGAGATTCTGTCGTTGTATCATGACACTAAGACTGCTGGACATCCTGGTATTTCCAAAACGGTGTCAGCAGTTTCTCGGTATTTTTGGTGGGATTCCTTACGCAAGGATGTCACTGACTATATAGGTGCTTGTACTACTTGTGCCTGTATGAAATCTTCTCGTAGGGTTCCTTGTGGGCTGTTGCATCCGTTACCTATTCCCGAGAGACCTTGGTCTAACCTGTCCATGGATTTTATTGTTGAATTACCTCCCTCGAATGGTAACACAGTTATCCTAATGATAGTGGATCGGTTTTCCAAGATGGCTCACTTTGTGTCTCTTCACAAGTTGCCCACGTCCAGGGAACTAGCACTTGTTTTCGCCAGAGAGGTGTTTCGATTACACGGCATTCCCGTATCTATTGTATCTGACAGGGGTAGCCAATTTATTTCCAGGTTCTGGAAAGCCTTTTGTTCGGAAATGGGTATTTCTCTCTCATTTTCTTCCGCTTACCACCCCCAGTCTAATGGAGCTGCCGAACGTGCCAATCAATCTCTGGAGCAGTACCTTCGTTGTTTCGTATCCCACCATCAGAACAATTGGTCTGACCTTCTTCCTTGGGCTGAGTTTGCTCGGAATAACGCTACTCATGATTCTTCCGGCAAGAGTCCTTTTTACGTTGTATATGGCCAACATCCTGTTGTTCTTCCGGCTGCTTTCTCCTCACAGGGCATGCCAGTTCTGGATGAACATTTGGCTAATTTGCGTAATACTTGGGAGCAGGTTCAGCGTTCTTTGGTGGATTCCGCTGCTCGCCAGAAGGTGCAGGCTGACAAGCATCGCAGGGCGGCTCCTTCTTATGTTGTGGGGGACAGGGTTCTGCTTTCTACGCGAAACATTTGCCTCTGGGTGCCTTCTATGAAATTGGCTCCCCGCTTTATTGGTCCTTATCGTATTCTGCATAAGGTTAATCCTGTTTCGTATGCCTTGGGTCTCCCTAAGAATCTGCGTATTCCTAATGTCTTTCACACCTCGTTGTTGAAGCCTTTCGTACGCAACCGCTACACCCGACATGCACCTCCTCCCCCTCCTGTTTCTGTGGAGGGTCATGAGGAATTTGAAGTTTCTGCAGTTCTTGACTCTCGTTTCCTTAGGGGCCGACTCAGTACCTAGTGCATTGGAAGGGCTATGGGCCTGAGGAGCATAGTTGGATTTCCGCTGACGCGGTTCACGCTCCTCGTCTTGTGCGCTCTTTCCATTCTCGTTTTCCTGCCAGGCCTGGCCCTCCCCGCCCGGAGGGCGTGTCCTCAGGGGGGGGTAATGTAGCGGTACTTACCCTTTCCAGGGGCCGGCCGGGGTCCTCTGTTCGAGCCGCGCGCGGTCCTGCTGCTGCACGAGCCGCGCGCGGCTCAGCCGACCGCTGTGACTAGTAGCGGTCACATGTTCCACCTACTCTAAGAGCGCGCCGCGGGTATCGGGCGCGCTCTTAAAGGGACAGTGGGTGCCTAAATTGGAAAAGGCATCCCATTGGTCCCTGTCATGCCACACTCCCCATACACTTACCTTTTGGGGGCGTGGATGTGACAGGGACCAATCAAAGTAGATGTTTAGGTATTTATACTCACCTTCTTTCCTTTGTTCCTTGCCCTATCGTGGTTTCTGTATCAGTTCCCTTTAGCGCTTGTTGTGTTCAGTTGTGTTTCTCCGTATTGACCTTGGCTTTGTTTCTGACTACGTTTTCTCTTTATCCTTATCTGTTCTGGTTGTCGGCTTGTTGTTTACTGTGTACCAGACCCCGGCTTGTCCTAGTTTACGCTGTCTCTCTGTGCCCTTGATTTCGGATTGTTCCTGACTCTGTCTCCTCTCATATACGTCGAGTCCGGCCATTCTAAGGTCCGGTAGACGTATCTCTCCTCTGTGTTGTCTTTTGTTTAGCTAAATCCTGCGTGTTGGGGTATATTCTCGTTACAGTCACAAAGGACTACGATCTATCTTTTGAACCACTGGACCAATTTGGATGATTGTGACATATGTTTGTATTTGGAGTATGCTGATTCTGAAAATGTAAGTTTTATGTGAATGTGATGCATACTTTTCAAGTTATGAATTATGTTGAAAAAAATTATTTCTCTGCTTGTGATAATTACATTACCCATTGTGTAAGGTAATTGTATCACAGGCAGAGGGGAGGATTTTGTGCGGGAGTGTCTGAGTGTATTGTATGTGTTTATTGGTTGTGTTCCAAAACCCTGTGGGTGGTACTAATTTGTATATAAGAACAATGAACCCACAGCTCTGCCTGTTCGCTGCTTGACCCTTAATACGGAGCTTTGTCTCGTTCTTGGGGGGGATTTACTGTATGCTGTTAGAGACTGATTGCCAGGAGTGTAAGCCGCTTGGGTGCTTTTCCTGTTCCGCTGCTAGCAGCTATTCGTGAGGTTCCAGTTCGGGAGTTTGGAG